CGCCACTTTCGAGGTCTGCTGGGGGGCCCAGCGGAGTGACGTCCTGCGGGGACTCAGAGTAGACCTCGCCATTCCTGGGGGGCTGCGATCTATGAAACTGTCGCCATTTTCGAGGTCTGCTGGGGGGCCCAGCGGAGTGACGTCTTACGGGGACTCAGATTAGACTTCGCCATCCCTGGGGGGCTGCGATCTGTGAAACTGGCGCCACTTTCGAGGGCTGCTGGGGGGTTCAGCGGAGTGACGTTAAGGGGTAACTTCAACACCAAAAGTGCACTCCCCTTTACAGAGGGATGCTGGTGCCCTGCGGCCCCCTCGGCCGACTAATTTCGACGCCTCGGGCGACTAATTTCGACCCCTCGGGCGACTAATTTCGACCCCTCGGCCGACTAATTTCGACCCTCGGCCGACTAATTTCGACTTCTCGGGCGACTAAGTTCGACCCCTCGGGCGGCTAATTTCGACCCCTCGGGCGAGTCATTTCGGCCCCTCGGGCGACTAACTTCGGCCCCTCGGGCAGCTAATTTCGGCCCCTCGGGCGGCTAACTTCGGGCCCCTCGGGAACTAATTTCGGCCCCTCGGGCGATTAATTTCGGCCCCATCGGGCGACTAAGTTCGACCCCTCGGGCGGCTAATTTCGACCCCTCGGGCGGTTAATTTCGGCTTCTCGGGCGGCTAATTTCGGCCCCCTCGGAAGGTTCTCTGACGACTACCTTCGGCCCCTCCGACGGCCAACTTCGGCCTGCCTGATCGCCCCCTGGTTCCTCGTCGTCGTCGTCCTCCTCCTCCTCCTCCCCCTCATCTTCCCATCCCCTCTCCTTCACGAGCGGAGGAGGAGGAGGGGGGGCATACGATGAAACGGGGGAGGAGGATGAGGAGGACGAGGATGAGGAGGAGGAGGAGGAGGAGGAGGAGGAGGCAGGAAGGAGGAGGAGGAGGAGGAGGGGTGACTGGGATACGGGGGGGGGCCTCGGCCCCCCCCCAGGCGGAGCGTCTCGGTTCGAGGGAATTCAAGTCATGAGTGACTCTGACGACGACTTCGTCGGGGTGCTCCTGGGCCCCGCGCCGCCCCGCGCGGCGGCCGCGATCGTCCCGGCGGCCCCCCCGGCGGCGGCGGCGCTCCCGGCGGCGGCCCCAGGACCCAGTTTAAAACGGGGGTGGTGCGGGGACGGTCTGGGACAGTAGAGGGCTCAGTTAAGGGGAAGGGCAGGGGAGGAGCGGGAGAGGGAGGAGGGGAGGGGCGTCGTCGTCGTCGTCGTGGTCGTCGTGGTCGTCGTCGTCGTCGTCGTCGTGGTCGTCGTCGTCGTCGTCGTCCTCGTCGTCGCTTTCGGACGTCGTCGTCGTCGACGTCGTCGTCGTCGTCGTCGTCGTCGTCGTCGTCGTCGTCGTCGTCGTCTTCGTCGTCGTCGTCGTCGTCGCTTTCGGATAGCCTCAAGGCTTAGGATCGGGGGCCCGATCGCGGCCATGGAGCGTGGACGAGAGCCCCCGGGGGGGGAGTTGGTCGTAGGCGTAGTCGTAGTTGTAGTTGTGGTCGTCACTCGCCTGCAGCGCCGCGCGCGGCTGCTCGCCCCCCCCCTCCCAGGATACGCGCTGCCCGCTCCCAAGATGCGCAGCAAGTCCGACCACTACAACCTGTGCTGCAGGATGCGGGAGGGGAAGTGGCGCGTGAAGGATCAGCGCCAGACGGTGAACCAGGCGCGGGGTGGTCGGCGGAGGAGGTCGAGGCGGAGGCTGAGGATAGGGGTGGACGGCGAGGAGTTGAGGAGGGAAAGGAATCGACGACGACGACGACGACGACCACGACGACGACGACGACGACGACGACGACGACGACGACGACGACGACCACGACGACGACGACGACGACGACGACACCGACGACACGACGACGACCGACGACGACGACGAACGAGACGACCGACGACCACGACGACGACGACCACGACCACGACCACGACCACGACGACGACGACGACGGCCGGCGGCGGCGGCGGCGGCGGCGACGGCGACGCACGACGACGTCGTCGGCTCCGAGGCATCTCGATCGCCGAGCAGCTGACACGTTGGCACACCCTGGCCTGTCAAGGCCGCGGTCGGGGGGGCGGAGGGAGGGGGTCTATATGTATTTACATTAACTATTGATGAGAAGATTTGCGGGGGGGGGGGGCCCCTCTCTACATTTGCGTCGTCGTCGCGTGTCCCCGCGCGGCGACGATGCAAGTGACGAGATGCGGTCTTTGTGCCCTTGCCTGCAGGGCGAGGAGCCGCGTGGTCGCCTACCTTCCCAAGAAGATGTTCAAGATAGCGGCGGAAAAGGTCCAGGGGCAAAAGGAGGATGATGATGTTGAGCTAGGCTAGGCGGCTCCAGGATGGGGAACGTGGTGGGGTTGAGGCTTCTTGGCCTACGGGGGCCCCCCTCGTCGCCGCGGCTGGACGCGGCTCGAGAAACTGGTCAGCCTGGGCCCCGGGAGACCAGAGCCACGACGTCGAAGCACGAGCAGCGGCGTAGGCCAGGACAGCGGTGCCGGGCGTCCGAGGATGAGGAGCTTGGTGGAGGAGGTGGGGGGAGGTGGAGGGAGGTTGAGGAGGAACAGGCCCCACCTCCCAGGTCAAGAGGGGCGTTCTGAAACGCAAGGGGGCCGTGAACATCAGGAAGGGGACCAGGGCCCACGGCGGCAAGCACCTCGAGCTCGTCGTGCACTCGGGGCGGGTGTCCAGGACCCTCTTCCCCCCTCCTCCCCTCCTCCCTCCCCCCCCCTTCCCACCTGCTCCCCTCGCCTCCCCTCCCCCCCCTCCGCTCCCCCTCCTCCTCCTCCCTCCTCCTGCTCCTCCTCCCCCTCCTCCTCCTCCTCCTCCGCCTCCTCCTCCTCCTCCTCCTTTTCCCTCCCCTCCTCGCTCGCGCCGCCGCCCCCCGTGGCAGGATGGCCATCCCTGACCTACTCAACGTGGCCTTCTGCCCCGTCAAGGGGAGGAACGACGTCGCCAAGGTCCACAACATCTCCCCGACGTGGGTGACCAAGGCTCCTCGGGCCGAACCGAGAGAGATAGTAGATGCAGGGAGGGATGGAGGAGGGAGGGAGGGAGGGAGGGAGGGAGGGAGGGAGGGGGGGGAGGGACGGGGGAACGAGAGAGAGAGAGAGAGAGAGAGAGAGAGAGAGAGAGAGAGAGAGAGAGAGAGAGAGAGAGAGGGAGGATCGGGATTCGAATGCTTTTTGGTCTTCGCGGGCCCTCCTCGTCGCCACGGCTGGACTCAGCTCGGAAAACTGGTTCGCTAGAGAGAGTGAGAGAGAGAGAGAGAGAGAGGCTCTGAGAGAGGGGAGGATGATGCATGGGCAGGTGAGGTGATGGAAGATGCTCCGCCCGCAGGTTCGTGAGTTCGCCGCGGCGGCGATCCTCGACCAGCAGCAGAAAGTACTGACTGCCGTCTTCGACAAGGCGTGCGGGGGTTTGGGGGTCGGGGGTCTTCAAGGGTTTCGAGGCGAGTCAAGCCGTGGCGCGTTCCCTCTCCCCCCGCCTCGCATCTTCCTCAGCCTCTTCCGGAGGAGCCCCGTCCAGCGTCACCCCGGCCCCCCCCCAGCCCAGGGCTCGTCCGCGCGGACGACGGCGTCGCCGAGACCCTGGTCGATTTTCGTGATGTCGACGGCCTTCGACGAAACCCAGGAAAAGCTGTACTTGCCGATGCACCGCTCTCTTCAGGCACGACTGCAGTGCTCCAGCTGGCACGTCCTCGTGTCGCGGTCAACCATGACGTTCGGAGTGAGCGGCAGAGGTCGCGCGGGGGCCGAACGGCAAAGGGAGGATCAGGAGAGGAGGGAAGAGGGGGATCCAGGGCCCAGGGGTCGGGGTTTAAGTTAAAACGGACGGTTTAAGGTTTTAGGATTCCTGGATTTCAGTTTCCAGAGGGAGGTGATCCAGGGACGTCGGGAAGGTGGATGGAGGGGTGGGAGGAGGAGGAGGAGGAGGGGGAGGAGGGGGGGAGGAGGATGAGGAGGAGGCGGTCGACGGACGGTCTCAAGCGGGGAGCGGCCCGGGGAGCGGGAAGAGAGTCCTGCTGGGGCCGAGGTGGCATGGTGGACAGAGCGTTCTCGCTCCCGCTCGTTCGGCCGACGGTGCCGCTGTTGGGCACGAACGCCGAGAACTTGTACAAGGGCCTGTACGAGCTGGACGCGAATCAGAAGGTCCTGGAGTACGAGCGGAAGGGCATAGAGTTGGCAGATGTGGCCTTCCTGCATTTCGACACGGACGGGGCGTTCGCCAACGCCAAGCTCATTCGCCGCCGCTTCCGCTCCCTGCCAGGTGACTTCTCGGCGACAACCCCCATTCCATCCCCCCGCGGGGGGAAGAGGAGGAGGGGGGAGGGGGAGGAGGAGGAGGAGGAGGAGGAGGAGGAGGAGGACGACGACGACGACGACGGGGAGGACGAGGACGAGGACGGGGGGCGAAGACGGAGCCAGAGGGAGATTGAGATTGCAGCAGCTAAGCTAGGCAACGCGCTGGGCTCCCACTGGCTTTGCACGCTGCATTGCAATAAGCTGGTGGAGACGTCGGGGCTGGCAGTGCTCTCGCTGAAGCTGGTCTCAGCGATGTACTCCATGGGTCTCCTGTTCAGGACTCGAGGGGGCAACGCTAGCTTCGAGTTGAGAGTTGAGTCGGCGATGCAACTACTTAGCGACGCAACGTGCCCTGCACCGTGGAGTCGGCGATGCATCGGCGATGCAGATAGCGCGACGCTTCGTGCCATGCATCTGCTCGCGGCATCTCTGGGCAGGGGGTGTTGAAGTCAGCCCAGGATGGGTGGGTACTTCTTGCGACTTGTTCACGCCGTTCCAGCTGTTGCCGAGGAGGTTGACATTCTAGCGACGCACCCCCCGCCTTGGGCGTCCAGCTACGCAGACAAGATCTGCTCCTACTTGAGGCACGGGTCCCAGTCGCTTGTCGGGTTCGGTTCGATTTCGAAAGAGATTTCGGCTCGGCTCGATGGCCTGGCCGCTTCCCCGGTCGAGGCCACCCGAGATCGAACTCGGTTCGTTTGTCGCCAGACTCAGGTCGCACTACAAGGCATTTGACGTGGCCTCGTACGCCCCAGATCTAGATGTGAAGCTGGGGCGCCGGCGCCGCGCGATGTTCAACCAGAAGCTCCAGAAGCTGAAGGCGGTGCTCAACGGGGACTGGTCGGTGAATCGGTTAACCCACCACTGCCTTACACCGAGCTGTTGCAACAACTTCGATGCTGCGGTGACTAAGGCAAGGGTTGCGGACGCCTTGATCGGGGTGGTGCTCGCCTCGATGCCGCCGATCCCAGCTGCGAACAAGTGGACGAAAGTCGGGCCCGCCCTGGATTTCTTTCTCGCGGGGCTCCTGGTGCACGGCGTGTTCGCGCGGATGTACGCCCGCGCTTTCGACAAGTTCACGAAGGCCGAGGCCGACCCCAACCCAGGCGGCGACGAGGCGCAGCACGATCAAACATTCATTGAGTCAGTCGATTGGCACAAGATTGCGGGCAGGAGGTGCCGCGCTGGCTATAACTTCCTCGTCAGCCCGAATTTCAAGACGGAGCTGCCAGCATCGTGCATCGCCCTGGAGTCGGTCCGCTACCTCGCGAAGTGGTTCATGGAGCAGTGCTCCAGGAAACAGCTGCCTTGCAGGGTGCCGCCGATCAGCGTGATGGCCGGGGACCTGGATTCGCCCATCACCGCCGCCCTTCAGAACATCTCTTGGCTATTATCAGGGGGCGCGCCCCGATTGGAGCTCATCTGGAGGCCGGCTGCGTGCGAGAGCATGCGTGGGTACTGCATGCCCGGGGGACATTAAGAGTCGATGGGGGGAAGGAGGAGCGGTGGAGGAGGCGCGGAGGGCACGCTCTGGAGGAGGAGGCGGCGGAGGAGGAGGGGGAGGTGGAACCAGACGACGGCGGCGGCGACGACGATATGACGGCGACGACTCTGTAGGAGGAGGAGGAGGATAAGGTGGTCCCAGACGACGGCGACGACGGCGACGGCGAGCCGCGTGATCGGGTCGTCGTCGAGCGGCATCCGTTCAAATCCTTCCCCCTCCCTGCCCCTCCCCTCCCCCCAGTTGGTGTCTCCTCCGAGCTCCCGCCTCTTCCTCCTCCCCCCCCTTCCTCCACCTCTTCTGAGCGAGCCCTCGCCCCGCAGGGGATGGCCCACCCTTCTTCCCCAGGGAACGCCCAGACGGGCTCAAGCTGCTCAAGAGGGCCTTGCTCGTCGTCGGGAGCTGGATCTACAGGCGCCACTACGCCTCGTCTCATTCGTACCCGTGGCGGCTGGCGGCTCTCGCGGACATGCGGCTGGGCACTGAGAGCAGGCGCAGCGTGGCTCGGGAGTTCGTCACCAAGAACTTGTGTTGCCTCGACGAGTTCTTCAGCCGCAAGCTCAGGGTCAAGGCGGTTTCGGAGGCAGGCTCGATCCGATTTCCTAACGAGGACGATTTCATGCAACCCGATGCCCTCCCCAGCGTTCTTGCTCGGTGGGCCCAGGGTGTTAGCGCATCGATCGGGGACGTCGAGTTCAGGCACGCTCAGAACCGAAAGAACGCCAGCGAGGGCATGCACTGGAGCCACTTCACAGCCTGCTACGTGAACACCGAATCCAAAAGCATGGCGAAAACTGACGAGGAGGGCATTCGTCGCGAGATCGACCTGGAGGAGCGGTCACGTGCTGCAGAGAACCGATCATCAGGCCCATCAAGTGCAGATGTACCTCCACCGCCGCCCCCTCATGGAGCTGGCGACGCAGGCGGAGGCGGTTACTACAGGACGAAGAAGACGTCGGCCAAGCTGCTGTACCGCAAAGACAAGATGAGGATCGACAGCGCGTCTGGGAGGAAGTTCAACCCAGTGTCCAAGGAGTGCTGGAAGGAGGTGGACGACGAGTTCGCCGAGATGCAGGAGACTGACCCGTTCAGGTACGACAACTATGTTAGTCGGGCTGATTCTACGGGCACAGGCACGGGAAGCTAAACCAGCTCCTTCCTCCTCCCCCCTCCCTCTCTCGCTCCTCCTCCCCCCCTCCCTCCCTCCCTCCCTCCCTCCCTCCATTCCGAATCCATTCCCTCAACTCATCCCTGATACTCATCCCTCCCCCCTCCTCCTGCCTCCTCCTGCCTCCTCCCCCTCCTCCTCCTCCTCCTCATTTGCTTTCTTGGCTAGGCAGTGGCGTCGTCGCTGTGCCGGGGAGAGCGCAGCAGCGGCGCGCGCAGCAGCGGGCCACGGAGTCGGCCATCGTTCCCGTGGGGGGAGGCGAGGCGCAGTTGGCGGTGGCGCCGCCTGCTATGATCTGCGCCCACTGCAACCTGGATACCCTCTCGCACCCTCATCCGCACCCCGAGCGGCTTCTCGGGCTCACCCAAACGACGACTTTGCCTGGCGGCTCGGATGGTGACCCGAGCGGTGTGATCACAGCGCCGCCTGTGTTGCCAGGCTCGTCGACGCGTCCGCTCGCTGTCGGGGTGCTGGAAAAGTTCTGCATGTCCGAGGAGCCTGGGCTGCAATGCTGCTGCTGCCGCGCGTCGTGTCCTCGGCGGGCGGCCCCCTCCCCAGTTTGAGAGGGATGGGCCCTGGGGCCCAGGGCCACGACGACGACGTCGACGATTACGACGACGATTACGACGACGACGACGAAGACGAAGACGAAGACGACGACGACGACGAAGACGACGACAGGAGTACAGTGGGATCAAGAAGACCGTTGACGGCTTCAGAGTGATGAACAGCGGGGTCGGCAGTGGGCACGACCAGCCAGCTCCTGCACACTTTAAGCCATGCGGCGGTCTTTGCAAGACGGCGACACCCCGATGCAGACTTCGTTTGCAGGCTGCCCGGCCCCTCTTAACATCGACTTAAAACGAAATCGTAAACCGTAAACCTTGAATGGCCCTGGGGCCCTGGGCCCAGCGTTGGCCCCTGCGAGCGGCGGTGGGAGATGTTGAGATGATGTTGGTCGGCCCACCTTTCCCCAGGCTTCCTTCGAGAAGGAGATGCGAACGCAGCTGGCCATCATCGGGACCACCCGCGAGCTAGCCGTGAAGGCGCCGCTGTACGTGTTCACGCTGGAACCCCCCGACGAGGACGACGACGCCGCGGTGGACATGGCCCCGCTGTACGTGCAGTTCTGCTCCTCTAATTGCAGGGCAGGCCCGCTCGAGCCGCGGGAGAACTGGTGCATCTGCAACTTGACGAAGGTGCCTCAACTTGTAAAGCTTTGTTGCGTCCCTCCTCCCTCCCCTCCTCCGAGACTCCTCCTCCTCCGGAGCACCCTCCTCCTCCTCCTCCCCCTCCTCCTCCTCCTCCTCCCGCTGCTCCCCCCTTTCCCGCCCAGGCGCCAGATGGACCAGGGCACGCTGGAGCGGAGGTGCAGCTTTCGCGCCGCGATTTCATTGAGTTCTCCCAGGCGCCCCCCTTGGAGATGGACCCCTCGTGCGGCATGCCCGGCTTTGCGACGGACGACGACCTCTCGACGATGCTGTGCAGGCACGGCCGCACCGTCTTCGGGGTCCGCCTCGATTACATCGACATTAGCCTCGACACGGCGAAGATCCGCGGGCAGTTGTCGGAATTCGACGTGCTTAGTCGCCCCGCCGAGGGTGATCGAGAGGGTGGTCCGCCAGGTGCCGGGGGCCCCCCCGCGCCCTTGCCCATCGCCGACGGTGGTGGCGACGGTGCCGATTCTGATGAGGATGATGACTGGCTATCGGCGATGCGGCAGTCCCCCTCCAAGAAGGCAGCGGCCGCGGAGCCATCACCTGGGCCAGCACCTGCGGCGGCCCCCGAGGCGGCGCAGGCGGAGCCTGAGCCAGAGGAGGAGGAGGGCGTGGGCGACCTCGTCCTGGACCACGAGCTGTCTGAGTTGCTCGGCGCTGAGGGCGTTGCCGACCTCCGCGATCTATCCGAGATGCTCGACGGCCTCGAGGCGGGCGTTGACAAGGACGGCGCCGGCGCTGACGTTGACGAGGACGTCGCCGCTGTCGCGGAAGAGGAGAATGACGAGGACGAGGGCGGCCAGGATGACGAGCCAGGAGGCGGAGGCGTCCTGGGCCACCCTGACATCGGGGGCGGCGCGGAGGCGGTCACGGCAAGGGACGTGGTGCGCACCATGTGGGACGTGAACATCGCCAGGATCGTGACGATGGCTCTCGAGCTCCACCTTTCTGAGTCGTGGGAATTGCGCAGGAATGCCGACAACCGCGCTGTTGGGAAAATATCGCTGGTCGACGGCGTTGTCATGAAGGCGGTGTGCAAGAACAATCATGGCCCCAACTGCCAGCTGCTGATCAACGGCGAGTCTCGCATGGACCAGGTGGAGGCTGACCTCGTCAAGTGGCTGGCGCACGGCCAGGTGGTCAGCCGCGAGGAGCACGCGGCGGCCGGCGTCACCATCAAGCGGGACAAGTACCACATGAAGGTGAGGGTCAATGCCGCATCGGCGTCCTCGGCTGGCCCGGCGCCGTCGTGACGGCGGAGGCGCTTGGACTGCGGGCCATGCATTCGAATTATGTGCGGGCTGCGGCTGGGGAGGCAGCCCGCCATGCCTCAGGTTCGGCCCTGGGCGAGACCCCAGGGGTCAGACAGACGGCGTGCTCGAGGTTGCTGTTCAAAAACAGTCGCCTCGATCGTTCGACCCCCACCTCGAGTCTCGCCCCCTAGCCAGGGCTTACTCGCAACAAGATCCGCCGACGCCTAGTGGGGGCCCCAGGGTAGCGGTAGTAGTACGGCCAATTGGCCGATGATGATTCTTTTTCCAGGAGCCGTTGGTGGCCCGTTTTCTGGTCATTATTGTTCGTCGGGCGCTCGCCCGTGCCTCGTCGGGGTCAGCGTGTCAGCGTGGAAGATACCCCCCCTTCTCTCTTCCTCCCCCTCCTCCGAATCCTCCAGGCTCAACCTCATCCTCGTCCTTGGATCCGATCCCTGGGCCCACCCGATCATATCCCATCGCCGCCCTCCCGCCCCTCCCGGCACGGGGGTCAACAATTATTGCCTTGCGAGTCGGGCGCAGCACCGACCGCCGACCCCCCCCCCTCGGCCCCGGGACCCGTTGAAATCAGCGGTGCTGCTGCTCAGGCCCAGGCTCGGGGCCCATCGGAATCTGACATGGGGGGCCTTGTCCCGCCAGCGCCCCTCTTCCCGCCCCCGAGCGGCCGAGCGGCCGGCGGTTGGCCTTGTCCAGGTCGCAGCCGCAGATGATAATCCTGGCGGGGGCGGGCTGATGAGTCGAGTCATCATCTCGCGCGGGTCTCCCGGGCCACCGTAGCCAGCCTTTAAAACTCGAGCTCCCAGCCTCACCATTCGCCGTGCACGGCCTACGCGGCCGCCAGCCCCGCGGATCTCATGTCCATGAGTGTGACGAGCACACCGAAGGGTACATATGTGGCCTTCCCAGCTTCCCGAACTCAAACGGCCTCGCACATGGCCGTCGACCAGGCGGGGCAGGGGGGGGGGCGTCGCAACCAACCTCGATTTGAGTCGACAGGGGCGGGATTCCCATGCCAGTGCTCGCCCCTTTCGGCTGCTTCGCAGCTCGCCCCCCCTGAGCTGCCCCCACGAGGACACGATGAAGTCCTTCGGTGGCGCACTGGTGCAGCGCCTCACGCCGAATGAGCTGAGAAACGTCGACGCCCTCCTCTGGAACAAGTGCGGCGGCGTCCTGAAGGTGGCGACGATGTGCTCTGGCACGGACTGCGCGGCTCCTGGGGGCGCCCGATCGTTTTTCGCTCTCGCACTCTGTCTCCCTCTCTCTCCCCTGCCTCCCCCTCCCTCCCCCCCCGAGGGCCCCTGGCCTCTCTCTCCCTCTCCCTCTCCCTCTCTCTCTCTCTCTCTCTCTCTCTCTCTCTCTCTCTCTCTCTCTCTCTCTCTCCCGCTCCCTCTCTCCCCTGTTTCTCCCTCTCCTCACTCGCTCCCTCCCTCCCCCCCTCTCCGCTCCCCCTCTCCCTCTCCCTCTCTCTCTCTCTCTCTCTCTCTCTCTCTCTCTCTCTCTCTCTCTCTCTCTCTCCCTCTCCCTCTCCCACTCCTCCCCATCCCTCTCTCTCTCTCTCTCTCTCTCTCTCCCCCTCTCCACTCTCTCGCTCTCTCTCTTCTCTCCTCTCTCTCTCTCTCATCCCACTCTCTCCCCCCATCCCATCTATCATCTCTCTCTCTCTCTCTCTCTCTCTCTCTCTCCTTCTCTTTCTCTCTCTCTCTCCCTCTCTTTCTTTCTTTCTTTCTTTCTCTCTCTCTCCCTCTCTCTCTCTCTCACCTCTCTCTCTGCCTCGCTCTCCTCCCCCTCTCCCTCTCTCCCCCCTCTCTCTCTCTCTCTCTCTCTCTCTCTCTCTCTCTCTCTCCCTCGCTCCGCCTGAGCCCCTCCTCCCCAGTCACCTCCCACGCCCTCGCCTCGCCTGCCTCCTCGCTCGCCGGGGGAGGGGTGGCGGCACGGGCCCCCCTCCAACCTCCGGCCCCGCCCGCCAGGTTATGGCGACTGGCGATCTCGTCCACGCTCTCAACTCCGCCATCGATCGCGAGTTCGCGGAGCCGCGGCGGATCAAGGTGTCCCACGTCTTCTCGGCCGAGTCGGACCCTGCCAAGCGGGCTTTCATCAAGAAGATGTTTCCGCGGTGCAACTACGTGTTCGGTGACATGACGAAGTTGGGGCCCATGGGTGCGCTCGTGACCAACTACGTGCATGACGGCGAGGACGCCGTGCCCAGGAACGTGGACATTCTCATCGTGGGCTTCCCGTGCGACGACGTGTCTCTCAAGAGCCATGCAGCTCGGAGCGGCGCGAACGATTCGGTCGTGGACGATGCATCTGCCAGGACGGGCTCCTGCTTCGAAGGCGCGCCGGCTTCGGGGGCGCTAAACAAATTGAAGTCGTGTTTTAGCGGGGCAGGGGGTGGGGCAGGGGGCCCCCAGGTCCTGGCAGGAGGCTCGGAGGAGGAGGTGGAGGCGATGCGGCATGTCTTGGATTGGCCCCAGGAGGTGGAGGAGCTCCT